AGCACCACAGCTATTCGACCATGTGTGGCAAAACCATGCAACTGTGCAGGAGAGGAAGTGTGCTGAAGTTAAGCTGTAGAGGAAAACTCAAAGGGACCATCACATAAAGGCAGAAATGGCATTCAAAGAGACCCTGAACATACTGTTTTGCATGGAAAATACTGCATCATCTTGGATGATTACAGGTGTGTCGTGGATCCTGCATGATCTTGAATGATTACAGGTGTGTCAGGGGCCCGTGGATAACTCTTATAACTTTAGATAAGTTTTATAGCTTGTCCAAAAGACGTGACCTCCCCCAAGCATATTGCTTCAGTACAGACTGGAAGGAGAGGGCACTGCTAGCACTATCCATGGTAACTTCCACCAAAGTATTGATGGCAACCGAGCTCATCCCAGGTTAGTTTAGATCTGACAGCTTCCTAAAAAAGTTGTACGACTGACAGCCTCCCAGCATTTGCTTGTCAACATCAAATTGGCTGGATTGGAGAAGATGAAATAAGCAGTCTTGTTGGGGGGGTTTCTCATATAAAGCACCTACTCTGAACACCTTCAAGAGCAAATTGGATGCTTATCTTGCTGGGATCCTATGACCCCAGCTGACTTCCTGCCCTTTGGGCAGGGGGCTGGACTCGATGATCTTCCGAGGTCCCTTCCAGCCTTAATGTCTATGAAATCTAAGATCTGTTGGCTGTTTTATGAGTAACTTCTACTGGGGTGAGCTAATACAACAGAAAAGGACTGAAGTAGGGTGAAAGTTGTGTGTATTTTACATGAGGTCAAAGTGCAGCTGCCTTTGGGGTGGAACCTGTGATCTAACACAGGAACCCCTCAAATGAAAATTGGAGTTTCAAATGAACGTTGAAGACCAGAGATGGATTGTAGGTGCCCGTGACTGCAGGTGAGGTCTGAGGAGATGTCCCCCTTATTCTTGTGCAAAGAACTATATTCCAGGTTCTTCAGGTCTTTGCTCTGTCCTCACAACCACAATGCGGTAACGCCAGCAGGGCACAACACCTAGTGCCGTGCATAGCAGTTGCCCCGGGGTAACTTAGAAAACGGCGTCACTTGGTTTATCTTTCCTGCAATGCTCATCTATATGGGCAGACACCTGTGGAAGAAGAAAAGCAATCTGATTGGGGCTTTTTCTCTTAAAATCCCATTAAATGCTTCAGCTGAATGGGTTTGGTGGGTAGGGCAGAGCAGCCCCAGAGCTTGCCTCGCAGGAGCAGAGAACCGTGGAGCAGACAGATGAAAGGCAAGAAGACTCCTGGGGAGGGAAGTGCAGAGGAAAGAGTCTGACGGGGAGTAAGAGGCTGTTGCAGTGAATGGGGTTCGTATGAAAGAAGGCTTGAACATGGAGCCATGCAAATAACTGGGGAATGGGTTTGTAGGAGGGCTTCCAGGTTTGATTCACGGATTAAACTAAAAAAACGAAAGAAAAGCCTTCATTTGGGTGACCCGACCCCCCAGTGTTTCCATTATCTGGGTGAGATGAAAGAACAAAACCCACCTCGTTTGGGGTCAAAGGAAACATTTCACTTGAGCCAACGCTGTTTCTTTCTTCTTCAGGGTATTTTCCCTTAAGGGGAAAAAAATGCAACTCGGGCAAATTCTGCAGCATTGCTTCACATTGAAAGTGTGCAATGTTTCATTTTGAGAGCATTGAAATTGAAGCGTCTCTCTTTTTTTGCCCTCCGAAAAGAATCGCTTTCGTTTTGTCATCTCTTACGGGCTGAAACTCTACATTTGCTGGGGCAGCACTGGGGGAGCAGCTTGGCGTGACCTGAATCTGCATTTGTCACTGAATAAACCGTTCGCCAAAAAAGTTTGGTCCAGCTCTGTTTGAAAGTGCTCACCTGCAGCTCCCAAAATGTCTGGGTGCGGTTTCGAGGGACTTGCTTGGTAAGGATAATACCTCAGTGTGGTCGAAGGGCCAGGAGAGGAATTGCTTTTTGCAAAGGATGTTTCAGAGAGAGGGGACGGGTTTATGCACCAGGCCTCCCTCATTCTGACACTTCATCCCCAGGCTGCCTTTCTTGTTTGCTACTAACAGGGGGTTTTCCGCCTGTGATCCAAATGGATAAATGATATTCAAATGCCACCTAGTGGCACAGGCTGTAGCTGGTGAGGAGATGAGGCCCGGCAGGATGTGCTGAAGATGCACCTGAGTTGTGTTTCCCTAAGGTGCAGGAGTGCTCAGCTCTGCTGGGGATGGAGCAGAGATGGGGTTGCCGGCCTTTCTTCAATATGTGCATCCTCGGACGGCTCTACTCCAGCAGAGCGGGAGGTGCCGTTTGCTCTGTGTGGTCTCAGCACTTTGTTTCACTAACTTCACTGTCACATCTGTGTTTCATTAATATGCTGTCACTGCCGGAGCAGCCAGTCACCCTCCTGGGTGCTACACCTTCTGCTTGAAGTCTCTGTCTGCACCCAGGTGGTTCAGAGCTACATAATGCAAAAGAGCAAAGACCTGAGGCATAGTTCAACCTCCTCCTCCAGCTCCAGGCCTGGGCAGACTTACTGTCCCCTTCGAGGCAGGACTGAGACCAGAAAATGTGTCCATCAGTCCATTGCAACCTTTGGCTTTCTGGCTCAATAGATAAGGAAAGAAAGTGGCTAATCCCCAACTTGTCCTACAGACCCCAGGACCCTGGTTAAAAGAAACTGGAAGTTGGTAGGGGGGAAAAGAACGCGCCTGCCCGGGTTAAGCTTGAGCGAGAGCATCCATCAAGGATGTGGCAGTAATCATGCCTTAAATGAGTGAAGCCAACCCGACTTCACAACAGACGGGCACGTGACAAGCTGGCCTTGACTGTGTCTGAAACGTCCGTTCTCTGCTGACAGCTGTAACAGGGGCAGGGTTTTGATGCTAAGAGGAGCAGCAGCCGATTCCTAGCATGTATAAACGAGCTCTTGTTCACTTTTGCCACAGAAAACTCTGGCTCATCCAACTCTTGACGTCAGCCAAACAGCACTGAGAGACAATAGACAGCCTCCAAATGCAAATATTTCAGGGCTGGTGACGGTGGAGCAACGCAGAGGAGATTAAGGGCTCGGATGTGAAATCTTATTTCCCTGGAGCCCCTAGGTTGAGCTAAAGGACTTGGAGCTTCCAGCGTTCCCTCTCCCTTCGTGTCGCAGTTCTCAGGATGTGTTTTGCATTAGCAGGATGTTATGCAAACCCTCCACTGGTCACAATAAATACCACCGTGGCTCCAGACCATGCGGTTGGAAGTACACGGGTGGAGTATTATTAACGTCATTGAGGCTCTGTACAGGCACCAGGAGCAGCTTTCCAGGATCAGGGCTTGAATTCCCCTTAATACCAACTGAACACTGCTTGTTCCTTTGGAAACGCTGCCCGATTCCCCCTTGCAGTGTCCTGACATCCCTTTTCTGTGTAACTGTATCCTCTCCAGCTGTACGACATGTGCCAGCTGGCTTAGAGAGCAAATGGTTGCAGTCAAATGACAGTGAGAAAATTAAAAAAATATATAGCTGATCTGCCCTTTGCAGCTAGGTCAAAGCAGATTTGAAACCAAGACCTCAGCAGGGAGAAAAGGTCCTTAGGACGGCTCCCAGCGGAGGTTGCCTGCATGATATGCAAATGAAGTGGGTTAAAAGATGCTGTTGAGTGTCGCGTGGGGCAGAGCCTAGATTGATTAGATAGTCCAGCCTGAAGCTAGCAGTCTTTCTGCTTGTCCTTCAGGGCACACATTTAGAGATGTTACAAAAGAAAGGGTAGAGCAAGTTCGTTCTTTCTCTAAGCAGAGAGTCTCCGGCAGTGAATGAAGGTCTGTGATTTTTCTGAGCTGTCTTCACCTATGAGGATACAGATGGACATAACCCGCACCTGTCCTGGCCTCTGCCTTTGGGGGGTCCAGGACAGGGAAGAGGCTGCTGATGTGAGCTGTGTGGGAGACGCACTCATTCAGCTCATTTGCATGGGTGCTCTGGCCTCACACTCCCGCTGCCTGGCCACCACCTTCTCCGGGTCACAGGGGGCTCCCGGTTGGATCAGGGTGTCACTTTGTATTGCTGTAGGCCCTGTGCACGTGGATTTTAAGCTACCAGGTCACATGAGCCTGGCTGCTGTTGGGGTTGAACGTCCAAAGGGAGATCAACTAGAGAAAATCTGGACTCCAGCCCGTGCTGTTTGACCCTGCATAGCACTCAAGCTGTGGGGAGTAGTAGATATGCTGGAGGGCAGGGCTAAGATTAAGAGTGACCGAGACAGATTGGAGAATTGGGCCAAAAGGAGTCTCATGAGGTTGAACAAGGGCAAGTGCAAAGTCCTGCATTTAGGACAGAACAATCCCATGCATTAGTACAGGCTGGGGCTCACTGGCTGGGCAGCAGCTCTGCAGAAAAGGACCTGGGGGTTACAGTGGACAATAAGCTGAATATGAGCAACAGTGTGTCCTTGTTGCCAAGAAGGCCAACAGCATACTGGGCTGCATTGGTAGGAGCGTTGCCAGTAAGTCAAGGGAAGTGATTCTTCCCCTCTATTCAGCACGGCTGAGGCCACATCTGGAGTCCTGTGTGCAGTGTTGTGCGCCCCCCCCCCCCCTTTACGGAAGGGATGGGGACAAATTGGAGAGTCCAGCAGAGGTCAACAAAAATGGTTCAGGGGCTGGGGGGCACATGACTAATAAAGAAAGACTGAGGGAACTGGACTTATTTAGTTTGGAGAAGAGGAGACTGAGACAGGACTTAATAGCAGGCTTCAGCTACCTGAAGTGGGGTTGCAAAGAGGATGGAGCCGGACTGTTGCAGATGACAGAACAAGGAGCAATGGTCTCAAGGTGCAGCAAGGGAAGTTTAGGTTGGATATTAGGAAGAGTTTTCTCACTAGGAGGGTAGTAAAATACTGGAACATGTTACCCAGAGAAGTGGTGAAAGCTCCATCCTTGGAGCTTTTAAAGACCTGACTAGACAAAGTCTTGGCTGGGATGATCTAGGTGGGGCTGGTCCTGCTTTGAGCAGGGAGTTGGACTAAATGTGACTTCCTGAAGTCCCTTCCAACCCTAACTTTCTATGATTCAGAGAGCTCATGATAGAGGCTATGAGACCCACAGGTATATAGTTCCCTGCTGGGCTACTCCTAAAGAGACACCACTGACTTCAAAAAGGAGGTGATGCAGCAGCGGTCCTGGTAGCTCCTTCTACAGCAACCCCAGGACACCATGTCATGTGGGCTGAGGAGCCCATCTCAGTTAACCTTGTCTCTCCTAAGTAGATTTGTAATCTCTTGTCTCGGAGCCTCTGGAGCTCCCAGAATAGCTCTCGCGTGTGCCGCCTCTGAGCCTATCTGTGCAGGCAGTCGGCCCGCTCAGACGCGATGGGGGTGGTGTGTGCTGGCAGGTGAAGCCTCGGCACTGAGGACCTGCACAAGTGCACGGGGCTTGGTCTGCAGGCCACAAAGCAGGTGTCCGCCAAAGGGGACAATGGCTGCTCTGCACATGGAGGAGAGGGGAGAGGGCAACCCCACTTCTCAGTGAGCTGGGACACTGGGCCAGGTCCAGCTCTGTGTCCTTGCTCCGTTGCAGCCCTGCTCCATCTGGCCACACTGTGTGAATGGTTCCTCATCCATCCCCCGTTCCTTCTCCCAGCACTGCATGGACCACATAGGGCATTACCCTGGGCTCAGCAGAGGAAGGTGCTATTGAAAGTGCCTGTATGCTGTGCGTACACCGATGCACAGGCTTACCTGCACACTGTGACACATGCGTGTGCATCCTGCAGGCACCATGTGCACTCGTTTTTCACTTGCTTGTTTGGAGACACAATATTATTCAGCGTGATCCATCAAGCTTGCTTTTCCTCTGTTTTACTGGATTAAGGTGACAGACGCTGCAGTCTATAGAGTCCCTCTGCAGCCCTGGCTGAGAGTCTGTGAGCCTCTGAAATCCTATTAGCGAGTTTCCAGAGAAATAAAAAGTTAATCGTCTCCCTGGCTCTGTCGCCTTCAGGCACTCCTCCTCCTCCTCCTCCTCTCAAGCACAAGAGAGATGCCTGCACCAAGGTCCCTGTCCCAGCAGGGCTGGTGGGTAATGTGGAACATGAATGCAAAAGACTAATTGACTTCACTGAAGAAAGCTAATGTTGGGAGATTGGCCAGGGAGCCTCTTGGGCTTAGAGGGCAAGCCAGCGTGGGGCATCTCTCGTCAGCTGGGGCTGATGCCATCAGCCCTCCAGCTGGCAATGTCCTGCCTTTAAAACGTGCGCAGTATGCGTCTGTGGAGCTTCTTAACAGCCCGTGCCAGAAAGGAAGGAAATCTGGCCGAGGAAGAGGGAGCGCTTCAGCTTTGCGTCTGGAAGAAGGTGGCTTTGTGCTCCAGGTCTGCCCATCTGCTGAGCCCTTGAGCCCTGCCGGCAGCCCGCCATGCCCCTGCAGTCGGACACCCTGCGTGAGGTGTGGACCACGGCCGGGTGAGTGCTTCTCCCCTTCCGCCCCCTGGGAACACGCAGCCCCACAGATTCAGCGCGGTCCTGATTTGTAAGGAGGATTTTCGTTTTGTCCATGTATCAGGCGGGTCTGCCTCCCCACGGGGCTTCTCTTCTCAGAGCATCCCTACCCCATGCACTGAGAGAGCACTGTCTCTTTCCAACAAGTTGCTGTCCATAGGAAGGCTCGAGTCCTGATGGGAAGGTACCCGACTGCCCTAGAAGTCGGTCTCTGCATGCCCATTCCAGCCCACGGGCTCTGGCAGGCAGAGGAATCGCTCCCAAGGATTTCCCTAGGCAGGCGTTTCCTTCTGAGATTTCTCCAGATAGCCTGTAAACATGTCTTAGGGTTGCCTTGGGAAGTCTTTTTGGGCCACATCCCGTTTCTGCCTATTGGGAGAAATCCCTTTAGCTCAGGGTTAGCAAGGCTGCAAATTTGTAATCCCAGAGTGCAAAAGAAAAGCCAGCTCTGAAGAGGAACAGAAAGCAATGACATTTTCACAGAAGAGACCTTCTGCACCGTTTCAGTTCAAGGCCGGCAACGCATTTTGGTTTTGATCGTACAAGCCCGGAGCAGTACGTAACGATATAGGTGTGACGGAAACAACAGTCATATTAATATAACACGTCTGAGTTACAGGAATTAAAATAACAATGTCACAGCAGAATATGACCCAGATGAAACTGAGATGATTCGACTTTTTCCGCTGGGAACTGACACGTTCCCATAATGGGTTTAGATGTTGGTAAAACTGTAACGGGTTTAGATGTTGGTAAAACCCCAACATAAAAATGGCCTGTTGGAAAGTTTTTGATTGGGTATAAGTAGGACAACCTGAACAAACAGCTAAGACCAGCAGTTGCTTGAGCCTTTGGTTTGCGGAAGGGTCGGGTAGAGCTGGGTACAGAGAAACAACGTGCCTTTAGCATCCCTCTCGCCTCCCAGAGAGTCCAGGTGTATCGGGGAACATAACTCAGCCTTTGAAGGCCCAAGTGGCCTATTCACACAGGCTTCTACCTTGAAAAATTACTGGCACGCATTGGATGTGCATGATACAGGCTCCAGGCTGAGCTTCAGTGCAGTAAAGAGGAAGCTCTGGTTCACCTTGTATTCTCGGGGCTTCTGCGGACCCGCAGGCAGCCCTGCAGCGCAACGCTGAGCATTTCAAGTGGCCGTTCTAGTGCAATCCAGAACTAGAGGCATCGGAGTCGGGAGAGAAACCCTCGGGGTTTTCTTCAGCCATCTGGTGGCTTCCTAGCGAATTCCAAAACAAGCAGCATGCTGCGAGCCTGCAAATGGAGACTCGATCCAAAATCCTGGAGGCAGGGAAAGCCAGTAGCCTGATAATGATGGGCTCTGCAATGAGCTGTGAAGTGCCGCAGCGGTTGGCTTGTGCCTGCTGTGTCTCTGAGACCCATCATTAGGGATTTTGTGAGAGGCGAGCGCACCCTCTCGCTGGTGTTGGCAAAGTAGGTACACAAAGAGAGGATTTTGGATAGCTCAGGGCTTTGGCACCGGGCGGGCAAAGGCAGAACAGTACCCAGTGCTGGAAGTGGAAGGGAGAGAAATTCAGACTAGCAATGAAGTGCGGTGTGCTTGCCTCCGAGAGGAATTAACTCTTGTGATTTCTTACTTGGGAGGCGGTGGATCCTCCAGCATCTAAGAGCTTTAAAACCCAGACGGGGTTCGGGCTCTGCTGGCCGCTCCAGGCTTGGCGCAGGGCTAAATCCTCCGGCTTGTGTTGCGCTGGAGGTCAGGCTGCAGGACAGTTAACGGTCCCTTCCAGCTTTACAACATGAGCACATTCATCCAGAGGTTGTTAGGCCCCGACCGAAGGACGTGCGGCTGTCAAGGATCCCGTCGGCCCGCCCCGGGCAGGGAAAAACGAAATCCGTGGCAATGCCTGTCCACATCTATCCTGGGCAGGGCTGAGCCACGTCTGCAGGCTGCGGTGCCACCTGCTGGGGTAAGAGGCTCACAGCTCCGGGGCACAGCGGCAGGTTCGGTCCAGAGGTTTTGGATGTGAAGGGCCATAGTAGCAGGGGTAGCACTGCTGAGTTTTTCCTTCTGCCCTTTCTCACCCCCAGCCCGCTCTCTGTCTCTGGGCAGCGTAAGGACTTTTGGGGCTAGGCTGTACCCAGACCCCCCACCCCCACCCCACCTGGAGCCGCAGCAGTGGGTGCAGCTGATCCACAGTCTGTAACTGCCTTGTTGCACTGCTGGGCTTGCTAAGGTACGACTTTTGTCCTTATCTTGTACATCCTCCCAAGCTACCCATTAGCATAACTAGCACCCAGGTCGGTGGGAAGGGCAGGGTTGGGGGCAGCTGGGAACGGAGGCCGACAGGGGATGTGAACCAGTGAGTGACAGCTAGAGATGCACTGGGGTCCTCTGTGCATGGTCTGTCCCTCACTCTTTTAACCCAGCCAGCAGAGCGTGCTGTGGATGTGGAGGTGATTTTCCTCCGTCCCCTGGCAAAGAAGCCGTGTACCCAGCTTGCTGCTACTTGTGGACAGAAGAGGGAGGCAGTGGGGAGCTCTGCTCCCCACAAGGAAGGGAGGTGAGAGTGGGACCCCAGCAACATACACCCCAAAGCAGCCTGTCCATGTTGGCTGCCCTTTTGGTAGGCAGAAGGAGCTGCATGCAGTTCATGGCTCTTCTCCTAATCGTCTTGATTGGAAGACTAATTAATGATTTAATTCTTTCAGTTAGTCTTTCAATCTCCTGGTTTCTTAGACCAGCTGGGAAAAAAGCAAATCCAAAGGTCAAAACCTGGTCGATTCCCTCCTAGATTTAGACCAAGGCCAACATCTTCAGAAAGGACTAGTGACTCCTGGATGCTCACTTGGAAGCATCTCAAAAGGGTCTGTGTTATCCAGGTGCTGCACCCATCCCTTGACAGTCAGGCTTGTGTCAGGTGCCCCCTCCTATAGCTGTTTGAAAACTAAGGCACCCCAAATGGCCAGTCCTCTATGAAGGTGGGCTAATCTCCCTGCACTGTGTTTCCCTTCTAGTATGAACGAGGAACCTGGGAGCCCCCCGAATCAGAAACTTAGCAAGCAGGTAAGACAATCTCCCCCCTTGCCTCCTTCCTTCCATGCTGGGTCAGAGCTGGGTGACTGAGGAGGTAAATTCAGGCTTCCTAGATACAGGCTCTTGAGCCCAAGTTATGGGACTTTCCAGCTTGAGAGTTGGCTTTTTCTCGGATAACGTTTGCGTCTGGACATGAGACTCTAGGGAACGAATGTGATTTCTGGGGTTGAAGAGCCAGCCTGCTGGAAACCATGTCAGGCCCCAGCGAGTTCCTGGTTCTAGCGCTTCTGATGCTCGCGGTCCTGTGTAATGCGCCATGTTGTACTTTGCAACACCCAGCACAGCCGCTTGCCCAGGTGACTTGCAGCTGTGATGAGACATGTACAGGTCCCAAACCTACTTATTGTCCCATTTTAAGATCAAATGAAGGGCCCAGTTAAAAAACCTTAGAAGTAGCTGGATATACTGGGAAGCAAAAAAAAAAAAAAAAGAGCAAGGGCTGTACAAGTGGAATCTGTTTGCTGCTAAGCCGTCTTCTTCATTTGAGCAGGTGTCATATAGGGAAACACCCACATTATCAGAGGAGTAGATGGTCATTAGAGTAGTAGCTTCACCTGTCAGGTTTAGGTCCTGAAAGATAATGTGGCCAGACCTTGGCATTATCCTCCTCAGTGCTGTTTGCTCATGCAATCAGAAAGGTTCATGGCCGGAGCCAGTCTTGTTGCCATTTGCAGGATGCTTCAGGGCACTCCCTGGCCAGGTCTGGAGAGGAAGAGAGCAGTGGGAGAAGATAAGACTCCCTCCCGAGGTGCGTCTGCATTTGCTATCAGTGCTGCTTCAGTGGGGGGAGCCTGTAGGGTGGGGGTCTCGGGTATTTGTACTGTCATGTCTGCAAACCGTACTGAGCTGGCCCAGTCCCCGTTGACACTACAGCTTCAACCATTGCTATTGCTGATGGAGGGGAATGGCTTTCTCCAGCATGCCCAGGCCCCAGGCAGTCTGTCCTGTGCCTCTGGGGTTGGCCTTGCAGGGACTGATAAGCAGGTTTCTAGCAGAGGTTGCGATGGGCCCAGCTCAGCATCCCAGCGTTGATGTGCCGAACTGGACTCTGCTTCCAGTCTCAGCCTGTCCCCTGCTGTGTGAAGGGCACTTCCTGGCACAGAGCAATGTGAGCAAGAGCACAAGCCATTGTACATGGTCTGTGATGTGAGGCCCCTGCCCTGACGTGATCAGTTCGTCTCAGGCAGAAGCACTCCAGACCCAAAGTGTGTGAGCTGATTTGAAACTATTTTTAAAACTCTCTTTCCTTATAATGGTTAAGGCTACAGGTGAGCTCTGTGAATGTGGTAGGATCTTACATTCCTAATTAAGGACTTAATTAAGCTTTTCAGTTAGTCTTTCAATCATGATTCACTTTCCATGGGTAGCAGGTGTTTCAGATGGTGTTAGACCAGAACATCTAATTGCTGTTACTAATTACTATAAACAAAACATTGAATTTACAATAGGACTTCCTTTGATACACTCCCAAGTACACAATACCTAGCACAGTGGAAGCCCTAGGCAGTGCTGCCATAATAATAATAATAACAACAAGAGCAGCCTTTCATACAAACTGCCTATCATCAAAATGCTTTATCAAGCTAAGTAATAAAGTTAATTGCTTCCCCTTCCCCTTTGCTAGCTCTGCGATTAAGAGACTAAAGGGAGTGAAAAAAGGTGAGGGCTGAAACACAGTGAGTTGATGGCATAAGAGCAAGAAGCTGGTTTCTGGTGCTGGACCCATGAATAGGAAAGCACAGGGGAATTTCAGGTTTAGATTTGGAGGGGAGAAGGTTTGACTGGATAGAAACTGGATGGTAAAGAGGCAAATCAGCAGAGTCAGGAACTGGAGGCTGGGCAGGTCCAAAGCCTGGGACTGTCAACGTGGCAACTGGCAGAAAGAATTGGCATCTCTCAAAATCAAGGGGTGCTGCTGCTGCTTTGGTACTTCATATGTGTCCCACCGCCAAACCAGGCACGGGGGCCTGTCCCCAAAACTTGAGGCATGTACACTGTTACACACAATTCGTGCCTGAGAATGAAGTGCACCATCAGCAAAGGTGCGGCGAGTCTTCAGGTTCCCTGGTTTGGGCTGAGGCAGACCTCGCTCCTTGTTGGGGGAGCTGTTTCTCAGCCATGACAGCAGCAGCTGGCAGCCCCATTCCTACCTGCAAGGGCCTGTTGGCATTTCTGTTGCAACAGGCTGCCATCTCCAGGGATTTGTAACTCAGCTGCAACAGTTGGTTTACAGGTAGCTCGGCCTGAGCTTATACTCCAATAAAGGGAGCTGCAATCTGCCTACGCACATGCTGCAGCTCTCTCAACTAGATGCTGTTATTGGCAGACAGGGTGATGAGGGTGCTGCCTTTGCATGACTGTGATGTTTGCATCTTTCATCCCGATGGACCTTGAACCATAAAATATGGTTCCCTTTCTAAGCAAGACTTTATCTTGTGTCTTGCACATGCACAAAATACTGGCCACAAACACTCCATATAAAGACTTCATTTTCTTCCTCCTTTGAATACTACCATGTTCACCGCCTGTGCTGTAGAACTAGGGCACTAATTAACTGGCACATCCCCTGTGATGCACCCTGTCTGGAGGGCAGTGCATTTGCTGTTTAACCATGCACAGCAACAACACTTGCTGGCTCATGGAAGGGCACGTAGGAGAACCCAGCATCCAGATGAAGCCGTAGGAGAAGCGTTGAGGAGGCAGAATGTACGCTGGAATCTGGCCAGGAAAGTGCAGTTAAGATCCTTTCCCCTGGAAAGCATCCCATGGGATCTTTAGTTATCACAATATATGGTGCTAGTTGGTGGATATGACTCAGACCGGCTCTGTTTCCTTTTGGTTTCCATATCAGTTTGAAGTTAGCCTCACCTTTAGCCCACACACAGGAACAGGGTGGAGGAACAGGCCGGTTGGGACAGGAAGAATGATTTGATCTTGCACTGAGTTGTCAGTAATCCTGTGAGGGGCCCAGTCAGCAGGACTTGCACTGCCTTGCATCAGGCAACATTTCCCGGTACATCTCGAATGCTGATTGTTTAGCTAATTGCCCAGCTGCATGGTCTGTGCTTGATAAATCATCATTATTTATAGCCCTGCTAAATCAGATTAGCTGTGATGCATCTAATCCTTCTGCTTCATGCTCTGTCTCTGGCTGACCTCAATCCCGTATTCTTCCATGCTACTTGGGGGCACCCTGGTGTCACTGAAATCCCTTTACGGGCAGCCGGTTTCCTACAGGAATCTGCCAGTCTCCTCCTGGTCCTCTATGGCCATGAGAGTGGCTGGGTGCTTCCCAGCCCATGGTGTTTCCCATGCAGGCTGGAGACCAAGGCGCTGGGTTTACATCACCTGGAGGAATTTATACACAGGGCCTAGTTTGCCCTTGCAGAGGTGCCTTTGCTGCTTCAGAGGAAGGGTGTGAACTGGCCAGGGTTGAGGGTGGCTCCAGTTCTTCAAACCTCCTTGGTCTCCTTATGAAGCCCTTTGCATTTGACCAATCCAGCTTCTTCCTAAGCACTCCCTCACCTCTCCTGCTCCTCTTCGTGTCTGCAAGCGGATGCCACGTGCAGCCTCTCAGCTCCCACCTCCCTTGCCATGGGCCTTTCCTTCTCATAAACGTAGTCAGGTGGTTGCAATAGCCACCACTTGAGAGCTCCTCCTGGTCTAAGAGTGGCTGAAGTGTCCTGAGGGGAAAGTTTATCCTTTTTCTACGAGGTGCAGCATGGATGAAGAAGGGCCTGCTCAGTCCCAGCAGATGAGCTGTTCCTTCTCCTTCTCCCCCAGCAAAGACGGAGGCTTCCCGCTGTAGCTGAGCAGTGACGGCTGCCCTACCAGCTGGCATCATATAAGCTATGGAGCCCTCCCCTGGGGCTGGGATGGGGCCCTGAGTCTGCCCTGCTGACTGTCCCCTGGCTTCCTTCCCCTGGCTCTTCACTGACTGGTCTTTCTCATTTCCCCCACTTTGCTTTCCCTGATTGGGCTGCTCCATGGTAAGTCTTTCTGCTTTGTGATCATTGGCCTAACATAGTGGTTCTCAACTGGGGTCTGCAAGCTCCTTAGAGGAGTGCCCCAGTGCTCAGCCCCTGTAAGAGGAGGCAGGTGCTAGCTCCTAAAGCTGGGCACCCGGCGCTTGCCCCCATGTCCTAGCAGAGCTCCGTGCACCCCCTCCCACCAGCTCCAGGAGCAGGGGAAGGAGCTGAGCTGAAAAGTGCAGCCCCTGTACTGACTGCCCCTGTGTTTTGAGCAGCGTGGTCTGCCCTGGGTGGACATGGGCCCGTGCTATTTCGGTACATGAGGCACTCCAGTGTCTGTCCTTACTAGCAGGTGCGTGCGGCTGCAGTAGGGGCTGGCTTGGTTTGAGGGCAGGACTGGCTAATTTTCATTCCCCTAATGAGTTCAGAAGCCACCTTGAGTAAGTGTCCCTCTCTGCTCTGTCTCTGTGTTGTTAGGGGCAGCCCTGAGCTCTTCATTCAGGTCCCAGCTTCACCAAGAGCTGGGAAAGGCTTGACTCTGAGTTTTGCTTCATACCCACCTCTGATTTTAGTGCCCCTTGCTCTTGGAGAGGGAATTTGTCTTGCGTCTAGTGCCAGTAACGTCTCATTCTGATGCCAAAGAGTTGAAGCTGCTGGGTCAAGATTTCAGAGCTGGCTAAGGGGTGTTGCCCACATGGTTCCTATTTCTTGCAATAGTAACTGTGTGGCTAAATCTCCTAGTCTGATAAACTTAGCTCTAGAGCTTTAGTCTCTGTCTGTATGGTACTTGTTTGAGACCAGGGCCAACACATGGGTGCCCTCCACACATGGCGCTCGCCTCTTGGAATGACGGGTTTTGCAGGTAGGACGTGTCTAGTCCCTGTGTCCCCTCCCAAGGAGCAGTCTTGAGGTGAGTTCATCCTTGTATCCCAGTGGGTGTGAAAGAGCACACACCCCGTGTGACAGCTAGCAGAGTGGGACATGCACCTTGCTAGCAGGAGCACATCTGGGGGGGCCAGCTGGGGAGATCATGCTCAGGGGCAATCGGCATGGGTTCATCAAAGGCAGGTCCTGCCTGACCAACCTAGTTGCCTTTTATGACCAGGTGACTAAATCCTTGGATGATAGTGTCGTCATGGATGTAGTCTTTCTAGACTTCAAGAAGGCCTTTGATGCTGTCTCTCACCCCATCCTCATCAATAAATTAGGTGACTGTGGCATTGATGCCTGCACAGTTGGATGGGTAAAAAATTGGCTGATGGGGCACACCCAGAGAGTAGTGGTGGATGGGTCGTACCCAACCTGGCGAGATGTGGGCAGTGGGGTCCCCCAGGGCTCGGTCCTCGGGCCCGCACTGTTTAACATCTTCATCAGTGACTTGGACAAGGGGGTGGAAAGCACGCTGTCCAAGTTTGCTGATGACACTAAGATGTGGGGCGAGGTGGACACACTGGGAGGGAGAGAGAGGCTGCAAATAAATTTAGACAGGCCACAAAAGTGGACAGATGAGAATAGGATGGGGTTCAAAGTAGACAAATGCAGGGTGCTGCACCTTGGGAGAAGGAATCCACAGCATACATACAGGCTGGGGAGTTCCCCTCTTGAAAGCACAGAGGTGGAAAGGGATCTTGGAGTCATTATTGACTCCAAGATGAACATAAGTCGCCAATGCCAGACCACAGCCAGCAAGGCCAGCCATACCTTGTCATGCATCCAAATGTGCATCTCAAGCCGGTCCAGAGAGGTGATACTCCCCCTCTATGCAACATTGGTTAGGTCACAACTGGAGTACTGTGTCCAGTACTGGGCACCACACTTCAAAAGGGACATGGCCAACCTGGAGAGGGTTCAGAGGAGGGCTACCCACTTGTTGAGAGGGCAGCAGGACAGGCCCTATGAGGAGAGACTTAGGGACCTGAACCTGTTCAGCCTCAGCAAGAGGAGGCTGGGGGGGGGGCTGGTGGCTGCCTACAAACTCATCAGGGGAGATTAACAGCAAATAGGTAGAGCCCTTTTCTCCACAGCACCACCTGGGGTGATGAGGAACAATGGTAATAAGCTGATGGAGAATAGGTTTAGGTTAGAGATCAGAAGGCAATATTTTACTGTTAGGGTGGCCAAAATCTGGAACCAACTTCCCAGGGAAGTGGTTCTCACCCCTATCTTGGGCAAATTCAAGAGGAGGTTGGATGATCGCCTGTCTGGGGTCTTGTGAACCCAGCATTCATTCCTGCCTGTGGCAGGGGGTCAGGCTAGACGATCTGTCCAAGTCCCTCCTGACCCTAGCTCCTATGAAACTATGAAACCTTACAGACCAACAGGGGAGGTGGCTGTCCCATCGGTCTGACTGTCTGAGGGCCTGATTTGCAGCTCAGTGAAGTCCAATCCAGTACATTTCCATTGGCACTGTGGGGTTTTGAAACAGGCCTGCCCTGCATCAAGGATGCTTGAATTGTGGGGGACTAAGCTCCAGCAGATCTGCCTTGGAAGAAAGAGTCTGGGCCAAGTGAGACCCTACCATCTCCCAAGTGTGCAAAAGCTTCTCGGAGCAAATATGTTGTTCTTCAACCACCCTCCATCTCCCCCAGCAGTCAGCTCTCCAGCTTTGGCACTGGCCAGAGGTTTTCTACCTCTTTGGAAACACAGTTTGAATAACTTCTCTTCCCACTGATCCTCCCATTTCTCCCATTTTACTGCATCATTTTTCATTCTTGCTTTCTGGCTTCTGCACATAGGTTTGAAGGACTCTCCTTCCTCCAGTTGGTATTCCAAAGCAAAGGCACTAGCAGCTCTGACAGCTGAAAGCCTCCCTTTTGCCATACACAGCACGGATACAGGGCCATGCCTCATACTGGCAGCTCCCTCTGTGTGCTGGAAGAGGCCACAAAGGAGACCTTAATCCCCAGAAACCAATCATCTCGGTGGCTTCTTTGCTGAGAGTGCCAGCAACCCAGAGCCAATTGAATGGGTGTGTTTTGTGCTGTGGACACCTGTCTGCTAGCAACTCCTCTGAGGCTTTTGTCTCATTTGACAAGCTGCTGTCCTTATCACCCCCAATCCTCTCAGCTCCTTCAGTTAATCCTTATCAGCCTCTTTTGCTCTTGCTCGTGCTCAGAGCAGAGACCGGGCAGCTATTGAAGAATAACCAGAGCCGCAGTTAATGAGGACCCACTTTGGAAGGGACAGCGCGCCTCGTCCTTCAGGGCTTAAACTGACTCCTGTCCAATAGAGACCAGGTCAAGAGGTCTGTTCTCTTCCTCTGTCAGTCACTTTTGCAGACCACATCCTCAGCTAAATGGACTTTGGGGCCTGATCCTGCCTAGCAGCCCCTCTATTTCTGGCAGTCATTTCACTTGCAGTCGCTCTTCATCTGTCACTGGTCCCTGGGGGCTGCACCCATATCCTTCCTTACCGGCCACACACCAATGTACTACCACGGGTGTGGGGGGAGCTCCTCCTGACTTAGAGAAGCGTGGGTGGGTTCATTGCAGCGTTTCTTTGCCTGCTTACGCTCGCCAGCAGTACAAACACTTAGTGATACCGCGTGATTGCCAAATCCCAGACACTGTCCTCCTTTCTTCTTCCAGGCAAGCCAAGCAATCAGCAGGCTGGGCCCTCAGCCAGCAACCCCTCTCCGCTCTCCTTGTTGGCTCTGGACGGGGGCTGCATGTGTGAAAATGTGCCGGTGCTGCGCCTGGGCGCCCACTCCAGAGTGCTGGCTTCAGGGTGAATGCCATTTTTCCTGCTGCCAGCTGTCTTTTCCCTGGTTGCCTGCGGACAGTCTGCGCTCAGGACTTCACTCTCTTGTGGAGCCGCTCCGGGTTTGCAACGTCCGGCTTCTTTCTAGGGAATCTTGGACCTGAGGACTGCAGAAACAGCGTGGCCCTCTTGCATGTCTGGTGGCAGGACAGGTTGGAGGGCAATGCACAGAGTTCACAGACGGGATAAATTCAGGGGGGATTTCACTGGAGAGTCATTTTGGCAGGAGACGTTCTTAGAAGAATGTGCCCCAATATGATTTTGCTTTTGTCCTTTGAAGCCGTTTCCCCGAGGCACGCGTAATCACTGGAAAGAGATTTTAGGACTGCTTTTTCCTCTTTTGTTTTCACTGCAGCTGGAGCAGGTTCAGGTTGATGAGGAAAGACCAGCCCAGGGACTGGGGATGCACTGGGGCTGGATCTAGCTAGATTGCCAGTCCAAATCAGGGCCCTTGGGTAGTGCTGAGAGGGTCCAGTGTTGCATTAGTGGGTCCTGGAGAGGACACAGATGTCGCCGTCTCTCGACGAGGGGGCATGTGTGGCTGGAGAAGGAGCTGGAAGGCTCTTCCAATCTAAGAGAAGTATCCTGGGACAGCGCGAAGGAAGCATGTGCCGCTGCCGCCCATCCCAGCCCTGTTCTCTGGCAGGATGTCAGGCAGTGTCCAGGGCTCTCAGCACCCCCTTTCAGCAGCATGAAAATCCCAGTGAAAAGCAGGTCCGTCTCCACCTGTGGGGAGGAGTGCTGCATCTGAGCGGGGCTGGGGAAGGGACCATTGGAAGGAAGCCTGCTTTAAGATTGGAGCTGGCTGCCAGCCACAGCTGGGAGAGGCTTATGTTGCTCACATCTGTGCGCAGCTCTGAATATCGGCCTGCTGGCAATGTAATGGGGAAGGAGAGAGCCAGACAGCCAGGCTAGATGCGACAGGGAGGCTGTCAGATGAAGATGCCCCTAAGTAACTAAGGGACCAGGACATGCCATCCTAACCCCTGAGACTTTAAAATGGGGAGGGCAGCAAGCTCTGCTTTCCCCTGTCGAGGCTGTTCGGCTCCTTTTTCCCCATTCAGCTATCCCGTGTCGCTCCCGTGCACTGCCAGGGTGGAGCTGGGGGCGCAGCAAAGTGGGGAGCCCTATGTTTAAGATAACATCGTTCATGTCACAGGCGGGCAGGAGGACGGGGAAGCCGTTTCGAGGAACATTGAAGGTTTATCATGGTTTTTCCTGGCACAGCAGAAGTTTAGGAGCTGTGTTGCTGGCAAGAGCTGGTTAAACTGGGGAAACCTGTCACTGCAGAGAAGGAAGAGCATGAGGAAAATGCCCAGGCCAGATTGAACTCTCCTTTATGCCACTGTTACAGCCATGTAATTACATGAATGCCCCTGGTTACACCTGGCTGGGCTAGATGGAGCTGGGCCCAAAGGGACGGGTGAGGGACCCACTGGGGCAACAGGGAGGGGTGTGGGGGCTGGGTTAGGGTTGTGGTCTCTTCCCTGGCTGGTGAGGTCTGTTCCCTGTGTGCTCCCTCCTGCTCGCCCAGCTCACGAAACATTACAGCTATGCACACGCACCCTTGCCCCAGGCAGGGGGTCAGCCCCAGGCCTTCGGCCCATGGAAATTAGCAGCCTTGGCATGGGATCATAGTGCAGTGCTTGCACTTGCTGCTACCTGGGACTGAGGGCAGGGGCTCTGCGGTTCCCTCCCTCCTCCCTCAGCTCTGTGTCAGTAATGTGTCTCTCCATCCAGCGCGTCCTACTGGGGCAGAAGCAGAAAAAGAAGCGCCAGGAGCCCCTGGCAGAAGCCAAGCCGAAGAAACCCAAAGCAAAGAAGTCCGGGGAGCAGAGTCCCGTGAAGGAGCCCAGCGCCTCTGCCCAGAGTAAGAGACAGAGCCCAGAGCAGGCTGCCCGCGGGCATTGTGAACCAGGGCACAAGGACATTGGGGTGGGCATCACACATGTCGACATGCTCCGGCATCGCTCGCCCCCAGGTTAAGCATTCATTGAATGGCTGATTCCCTCTGTGCCTTCTGTCAGCCTCTCCTTCCCTGTCGGAGCACAGGCCTGGTCCCAGGACAAGGCACAGCCTCGGCACTCCCTGTCTCTTCTTTTGTGTACCTGTCCTCAGTACGGCTCTGACCTGAGAATCTCAGCTGTGCGAGCAGGAACAGCCCAGCATGCATGGGCAATGGGAGGGCATGATCCAGGGGCTGAGCTCAGCTGGTAGAAGAGGTTGAGCCCGCTCCTGTCCTGCTCAGGAGACAGTGCAAGACCAGGCCAGCATTCAGGGCTTAGCGGCCATCTGCACATGCACAACCAGATGTGCATGCACACGTCTCAGATCTGCACATACATGAAGTGCTGGGGACGCTCCGCCCAAGCTTTGCCTCCACAGACTGTGTTTTGTGAGCACCAGAGCAAGGTCCAAAGTGGGTCCCAATATGAGCACAGCCTGTGCCGAAGAGGGCAGCGAGGCACAGACATATGCATACTCGAGGCCCTGTGAATGTGAGCTGCCCTCTGTATCTGTTCCTGCCTCCTCTCCCTGCTGTGATCCTTCCATGCGGGAAGGGGACCGACCCTCCCTGACCTTGCAGACACAAACACCCCACTGTTCTTGTTCAGTCTGGTAGTGAGAAGCCCCCCCACAACCCACTGTCTCCCAGTGACCATGTGCTGGGGTGGGGGGTTACTGGTGTCTCACAGGCCCTACCTCATGTTATTCCCTGCCCTTCATCTGCTGCCCTCCTCTCCACACCTGCCTTGTCCGTTGTCACTCTGGAATTTCTTGCAATGTGCAGGTGTCAAAAAACTGAAAAAGAAGAAGGAAGAGAAGCCAGAGGAGGGGGGTGAGAAGGATCTGTACTCCAAATTCATCAAGGACCCCAGGAAGAAGAAGGAAAGTCCTTTGGCCAACTTCAGCACATCCAAAACTTCCAAAAAGAAGCAGGGTAAGGAGCTGCGCATCTTCCGCTGGCACCTGCTACCCCTCATCTGAGCAGTCACAGCTCAAGCGCACAGCGCTGGTTGCTCGCAAGCAGCGTACACCCTGTGTAGACCCTCGCCTGTGTCACCATCCAGCAGCACATGCTTGCACCGTGTTTACAGGCCAGACACACAGCTACCCCAGCTCTCATTCACACTGCAAGTGTTATCCAAACGTGATCCAACATCCGTTCGTCCTAGACCAGACCCTGTGCGCCCATCTAAGCACCTCCCTTGGAGAACTCTCTCTAAACCACTAAGGGATCAAGCCACCTCCACTCTGAAACACCAACAAAAGCTCCATGGTGGGAAAGTTCCCAGTCCCCAGGTAGAGCGAGCAGCCCCCCCGTGATGGCTTTGGAGGGCAGGTGCATTGGCTGTGCAGACAACTGCCCTATTTTAAGAACAGCTCCTGCCGTTGGCCCCTCTCATGGCTGGCTGTCTACAGGCCCTGGCTGAGATCCTCATGACTGTCTCCCTGCAGAGATGTTGGAGGAAGGCTGGAATCAGCCCTGAGGCAGATTTTTCAATCAACCTTCTTATTCCCCAGAAAATGGAGATTTGGGTCAATTAAAACTATTAGCTAATCTGCGTCCAATTCAATTGTTTTGGCCAAAAAAGTGGGAGGGGAAAAAAAACTAGAAAGTCCCACTTTGATTTGTCTGAGGCATTTGATTTTGCTTGAGTTTGCTGATTGCTGCATTTCAAAATGACTTTTAATGTAGAAAACCCCAAAGCAAGGCAGTTTATTTCGGATAAAACGAAGGTTTTTACTCAACACCCACGTGGTGGTTTGCTTTTTCCAGTTCAGGCAGTGCGACAAGAAATCAGCTATTGACACATCTCTGCTGCGGTCAGAGGTTGTATGTGCTGCACAGCTGTTGCACTCACTGTGCAGAGGTTGTGTGTTCTGCATTAGTTATTGTAGGGACTATACAGCTGGCTGCGCCGAGCCTGTACAGTGCACAGGACCCTTGGAAAAGCGCAGGAGGCTAGATGGTCACTAGGGGGCAACCTTGCTCCATGCACCCTGCAAATCCTCACTCCTTTCCCTACAAATACAATGGCATTTGTTTTCTAGGCTCTACCAAGTCAAATCCTGGGTCAAAGGCCTCTGGAGCCTTATCTGCACTGGGGAAATGACCCTATTCTTTTTCAGCAGTTTTGAAACTGGCCCAGCTCACATAGTGTAGGCCAGGCAGCCAGCACCACTTCCAAATCAGTTTGAATATGGGGTGAAGATGCACTGTTGGAGTCCCATTCAGTAAAGCGCAGGTCTCGGGGCTTGAAAAGTCTTCCTTAGACTTTTAGGCACATTTTCGTGCTAAAGTTGTTCCCATTCACACTTGCTGGCTGTGGTGGAACCAGTTTTGCGGGATTAGCCATTGCATTTGGCCTCAGTCCCAGCCTGGACTAGGCAAGACAGGAGAGGCATGAGCACCTGGGTCACCCACTGCTGTTCAGTGCCTTACAGCCTGGAAGCAAAAGTCTGGCAGGCCCCAAGGTAGCAAGCTCATCCAGGAAAGCATGCAGGATCAGCATTGCCATCACCTTGTCAACGGGTTTGTGTCTCTGATCTTCTTCTGATCCCCACTTCCACCCCAATAAACTCTCCAGAGGACTCTGAGGAGGAGGAGGACGAGGAGGCTGAGAATCAAGACCCACCAAAAAAGCCAAAAAAGAAGCCCCCCAAACCCTCCAAAGAAGCTTCTGCTGGAGAAAGCAAGGAGAAAAAAGCCAAGCTTAAAGGTCAGTGATGGGAGCCCCAGAGTGGGAGGTAATTAAGGGCTGGACGTGCTCTGTGAGTGAGGGGAAGGATAGTCCAGTTGTTCGGACACTAGCTTTGCACTCGGGGAGCCTGGGTTCAGGTCCAGTAAGAGCCTGGGCAGATCTCTGCTACTCAACTCCCTTTTTGTCCCTGGCTTGCCTCCACTCCTTCCTCTCCTGTCTCAGCTCCCACTATCTCCACTGCCCTTGCCCCCGGCTGCCCCGTTTCTGTCCCCGTGCCTGTCCTCACCTTTCCAGCTGCTGACTCCTGCCTTTTCCTTTGCCCTCCCTTTTGACTCTCCTCTCTTTGTCCCATTAGGAGACAAGAGTGAACCGGATGCCAAGAGCAAAACTGCAAAGACCACAAAGAAGGAGCCAACCTCCATGTTCCAAGTCAGCAGGGACAAGAAGGAGAAAAAAAGCAAGAAGAAAGGTGAAGGGGCCTGGCTGCCCCACGATCCCACCACTGCCTTGTGCCCTCAGCAAAGGGCTCACAAGGCCTTGCCCTTGGCACCTAGGGAGATGTGGATCAGCCTGTGGGAGGGGTTGCGGCCAGGTCTGAGCTCCGGGCTAAAAGGGATACAGTCGCATGGAGCCACCTCGTGCCGTGGTCCCATCCCGCCTCGGAAGGGAAGCAGGATGGGACCAGGTGGCCAGTATTTGGAGCAGAGCCTCCCCCAGTGAAAATCCAAAGGCTGGTGGTGGGGACTGGGTAGAGTCTCTGCTCTGCACTGGTGCTGGTCTGATCTCCCAAGTGAACAATGCTGCACAGCCCTGAATCAGGAAAGCTCTTCTCCTATGTGCACAGCGGCCAGCCCATCCTGGCCAGACCCACGGGGGGTCAGTCCATCCTCCTGGCCTGAATTTCAGCTGTGCACAGGATGTGTCTTCACTGCCTGCTCTTGGCTGTGTTTTAGCATGGCTATGCACTGTTAAACACAGGTTTACCCCCAGAGGTGGCTTCCTTTTAGCAGTGGGTAAAGTGATTACCCTATGCTTTACATCCCTCACCTACACCCCAGGGCCTTGGGAGGGTTACTTAGCATCTATCAAAGTGACAGATGAGAGATATGTGAAGAGTTGCTGTATCCCCTTCTCTGGATTGATTTTCCTATCCCCCCGCCCATCCATCCACCCCTGCCCTGCGCCCTCAGCTCCAGCTGACAGTGATGCCGAAGATGACTCTGATTCCAGCACCAAGCCGATCAAATCTGACAAGAAAAAGAACACAGCATCCATGTTCCAGGCCGGGGGCAATGGCTCCAAGGAGAAGAAAACCAAGAAGAAAGGTGGGTGTAGGCAGCCCTCTGCACCAGCTTCGCAGCTGGGCCCTAAGTCAGATTGCTTAGGCAATGGCAGCAGGGCAGCACATGGCATGAACGGGGCACCTGGCCTGAAGAGAAACTCAAGGTGCTGTTTCAGCCTCGGCCAGGGGAGTACTGCTATGACATGGGAGATGCCATGAGGTGGGTTTTGACCCAGGTGGTTTTACTGACCTCACAGGGGAGACCCCCTTCTTCTTGGCCTTGAATGACTTGGTGTCGTTAGAGGGTGAAGACCTGCCCCTTGTGCTGCAGGCAGGCAGGCTGCCCCCTGCGAGCATCTCCAAGTGTCTCCAAATGCGAGGATCTTGGCTACACAATTTATGGCGATGGGGGATTGCTCTTGGGCTCTCCCTCTAACTTTCTCCTTTGGCCTTTGGGCTAGGGGCAAGCGAGACCAGGAGGCATCTAAACTGCAAACCCCCTGGGTTTGGGGCCTGCATGTAGGATGCCTGCCATGGATTTGCGAGTATCTGAAGCCCCAGGCTGAAGAGCGTGGGAGGGAAGAGACTTGCTGGTGGTAGTGCTGCATGGACGTGAACATTGAGCTCTGCTCAGTCGACAGAATTCAGAATTGATTTGGCTGATTTGAACACGGAAGTGCAAAAAAAAAAGGAGGGCTGTAAAGGGAGACGATGGTGACCAACTCAGAATAGCTAATTTAACCCGTGGTGTTGGCACCAGGCTTGGAGAAGCATGTTGTCCCTTGGAGAAGTGCCATCAGGGCAGGGGGCAGCAGCTTCAGGGGCTATGGGAGGTCCTTTCTGGACTGACCAAGGTTAGTCCCTTGCCCTCCTTTTCGCAGTCTTGTAGCCAGCACATTACTCCTTCCTGATGTCCCGCCAACATGACCCATCGCTGTGTCTTTGCATTTACATGTGCCGTGCCTCTGGGGAGTGTGACGAAGGAGGGTTAAAAAAGTACAGACAAACAGGGCTGAAGGGGCTTTGGCAGGTCATCGACCCCAACCGCTGCTCTCAAGGCAGGAGCGTGCCTGCCCTCCAAGCGCTCTCCCAATAGGGGATGCTGCCAGGCAGAGCCCTCGTCCGACCAGATGCCTCTGCTGTTATAAATCATGCTGTTGCATCTGCAGTGATGGTGCCCGGTGCCTTTAGTGCCTTAACCAGGCTGGGGTGTTTCCAAGTCGGTCTGGGAGGCTGGTCTCACGGTGTGTTTCTACCGGCAGCTCCTCCCAAAGGTGCTGAGGAGGAAAGCGAGGAGGAGGCCCCCGAAACTACCCAGAAGAACTCCAATAAGAAAGGGAAAGGGAAGAAGTCCAAGAAGGTACAAGGCTGGCTAGCCCGGAGGGGCTCTGGGAATGGGCTTTCCGGGCGGCCTTCTTTCCCCCTGTGGTTCCTTACAGTGAATCAGGGAGGCATGGGTTGGGGCTGGAGGCATCTCTCTGGTTTTAATTGCAGAGAGGAGAGGGGAAGGGGGTTGGGAAGAGGGCAGGCTGCCTGTTCCCCGCAGCAGGGCACCAGGAAGGAGGGAAGGCAAGGCCCCCAGCAAAAGGCTGTGGAAAGGGACTCTTGGAAGAGGCCAGCAGCGTGTGGGAGAGGGGGATCCCAGCAGTGGCTCTGAGAGGGAGGGGGACTGGGGTGGCAATTCGGGCCCCCAGAAGGCTCTGCGGCAGGGGGATGCAGAGGAGCCTGTGGCTGAGCCAGGAAGAGGGAAGCAGTGAGATCCCTGGTGTGACACAAGAGGGAAGGGCAGGGGCCAGGGGGAGATGCACGGAGGTGTGATGAGCCCGTGTGGCCCAGCCTGCCTCGGTTCAGGCTGCCGAAAGGCCGGGGGCAGCAGGAACCCTCCCTAACACCTTCCACTCCCGGGCTGGCTGCAGAAGGAAGAGCGACCTCCTTCCCCTGTCATCGAAGTGGACAACCTGGAGGAGTTCGTGTTGCAGCCGGCCCCTCAGGGGGTGACCATCAAGTGCCGGGTGACGCGAGACAAGAAGGGAATGGACCGGGGCCTCTACCCAACCTATTACGTCCACCTGGACAATGAGAAAAAGGTGAGCAGGGGGCTGAGGTCCTGTGCGACAAGCTGCCCTATGGATGCAGCTGGGAAGAGCACAGGGGAATGCATCTGACAGCTAAGGAGGCCTGGCACGGTGGGGGGTAAGCCACTGCAGTTGTTGGAGTTGTACCAGGGCCGGGTTTGTCCTCGTGGGTCTTCTCCTTCTCTAGCTCCTAATATTCCCTGGCAGTTTTCCCAACCTCTGAAGTCTCCTCAGTAAACTCCAGACTGAGACTGATGTTTCCATTGTCTGCCTTGTGGTTCCAGGCACGTGCGGCAGGCATGTGGTTTAGCACACACGCCGGTAGGTGCAGGATGACTCTCCGCATTGCTCATTATACCAGGCCCTGTGTGTCAGCCCACAGACACACGTTAGCCCCTCCAGGTGCCCAAATTCCTCTCCAGCGTGTGCTGCGGTGTCAGTGGAGCAGTGTGCTCTCTCGGTTTCTGGATTAGGGTGGCAGCTAGCAACTTGAAACACATCCACGCACTAATTGATTCGGTCCCCTCCGCCCATATTCCTGTAACTCCTCTTGGGAAATACGCTGTGCTCATCACGCCCAGCGTGATTACTGTATCGCAGCAGATGCAGTTTGAGTTCTAGCTGTCTTGTGTTCAGCAGAAGCCGCGTGAAAAGCTTGGCTCTCCAGTGAAGTACCTGAAACCTAGTACTTGGGGACTTCGTGTAGGTGTCTGAGGTGGACAGTGTCTTTGAGGTCAACAGCGTGTCTCAACTTGGTGGCCTCTTGATGCAACTTCCTCCTTTTTTATCATGATGTTATGGTGCAACTACCTTCATACACAAGTCCCACTAGCATGACTCACAGGTTGCTTTATTGCGCAAGCCGTAGTGTGTCCCAGAAAACTGAAGCTGTTCCCAAGTGGGGTAACAAGCCTTGGAAAGCTAAATCACAGAGACGAGTTTAGCGCTCGGTCAAAACAAAGGCGAGATGCCTACTCACTGTTGTGGCTGTGAGTCCCAGCTCAGCCCCCGTATGCCCTGTTTCCTTCACTCCTTAGCCTCTCCCATGAGCTGACATTGTTGTTGTTCCAATGCAATGGAGCTGTCCTAGGAGGCAGGGCTCATGGAGGTGTTGTGGCCTGTCTCCGAAGTAGCTAAGCCCATCACATCTAAGTCTTTGAATAACAGATCAGAAACTATGAGCTGAACTTTGCACTTAGCAGGAAGGCAGTGAAGAGGATGCTGGGTTCCCAGCAGGTGCCTTGCTAAGCATAAAGGCTGCCTGTTGCCTCCTGTGCCATTGGAGCTCTCGCAGGCTTCACTCCTAGAGACCAGGACCTCTTTCTGTCAGCTTATGCCCTGCTATAATCCAGTCTTGGCCCTCCTGTGTCTTCCAGGTTTTCCTGCTGGCTGGCCGGAAGCGGAAAAAGAGCAAGACCTCCAACTACCTCATTTCCATTGACCCCACGGATCTGTCACGCGGCGGGGAGAACTTCGTTGGGAAGCTGAGGTACCAGCCGGTGGCGTAGGGCAACACTGAGCATGAAACGTTCTCTGCTGCTTCCCATTGCCAGTGGCCCAGAGCACGTTCCCAGCTGGTATAAGTTTCATAGTTTCATAGTTAGTAGGGTCGGAAGGGACCTGAGCAGATTTCATAGACATTAGGGCTGGAAGGGACCTCGGAAGATCATCAAGTCCAGCCCCACACCTGAAGGGCAGGAAGTCAGCTG